AAAAAAGTAACTAATGCAAACTGAACTCAGGCTCTTAAAGTTAGGAATGCCACCTCTGCGTTACAGTGTAACGTGAACAGAGCTGCCACTGCTGCCAATATAAACTGCTGGTTTAGCTGGGTGCCTGCACCTGGGCAAGAGATGACCCCATTACCCATTTCTCATTGCTCACACATTGTCCAGCTTTCAGCTCCAACCTGGCCTCCAGAACAAGGATCCTGGTCATGGCATTGCCCAAGCAATATAAGTATTCAAAATGCACTTTGCTTTCTGTTGGGAAACACTAATTAGAGACTTTTTTCAGTGTTTTCAATCCAGGAATGTTTCACATACTCTTAACGCTCATTGGGTAGGAGGAAGAGGTTGTAAGATGGGGAAGCACATGTTATTTAGAGCAAATGAATTGAGTGGGGAGGGAAACCACACCTAGCATTCACTCTGTAACAGCAGTGGAAGTAGGGGCAGCATCGGGTACCAGGGTTCTCCACTTTTCAGGAAACAACACACAACTTCAACTATTTATTTATTGGTTGCATAAGGGGAGGCATCTCATCTATACCTTGTTGCCTCATCATTCTTGCTCACAGACAGAAGCGATTCACCCTTACTTACCTATCCCTGTACTCCTTCCTACCATCTATTCCCTAGAAACAGGGCAGCTTCCAAATAATTTTCTTCTCGCTTATCCTATGAGATCCTATCCTATTATCCTGTAATACGAGCCACTCTAGTCTTCCCAAATGTCTGCTTGCTTGTAACAAGGACCTACTTATCAGCCAACTACAAAGTAACAGTGCCTTTTTTTCATGTTTTCTTCCCAAACACAGTCAAGGCACGCAACAGCTGACTTGGTAAACCTTGAAACCCAAGCTAACTCTTGTTTTCCATTAGCACAGCGGCCTGTGACCTCTGCACACCAGACTCACCAGTCTGTCAGCCCGGCCTTTGAAGACTTAGAAAGGCTCTGTACCTACTTTGTTTGAAGTATTTTGCCCCAAATCATTGTTGTTGGGGTGTTGGTGGGGTGTTATTCATTATTTTTAGGATGAACAATTACATACCTTTAATGTAGGACTTAAAATATTTTTTAATTCACACCCTTATGGTTTATATTCTACAAAATCTCACAGGCTCAGTTGTGTTGTTCAGCGACTTGTACACAGGCAGTTGCACAGAGCTATCGAGGACTGACCTTGCGGGAGAGCACGCACAGAGGCTGACAGAGGGACACTGGTGAAACGGGATGAAATCTGAGGAACGCATTAGCTCAGCAAGCAGTCATCTCGTTCATCGCTGGAGACTTCGCCTCACAGAACCAACAACCCTGCTCACTGCTATAGCCCTGCCGCCATGAAACCGGCCTCACCGTGCAGCTCATGCTTCCTCCTCGGGCAGGCGCCGAACGGCCTGGACAGAAAGTGGCAGGGACCAGCAATGAAACTGTCCCTGTCTCCCGGGGCGTGTGCCCTTCACGAATATAAGGCCCACAGAGAAGCTCTGCTTGCGAGGAACCTCCTCGGGCGACCCGCGGGTGCCCGCACGGCGCTTGCCCCACGGAGGGGCCCGA